CTTGCAGTTTGATGGCACTGGCCAGTCTAGCACCGCCTGCACTTTAGTGGTGTCTGGTTAGAGGCTGTCTTTTTCAACCATATATCAGAAGAAGGAACTGTGTCAACATGGAACTCACATTTTTCACTCTCACGGCATGTCTAATCACTGTCATATCTAATTTTTTTGGCAAAATAATGACTTGGAGAGAATAAGTATGAGTTATTACTGTAATTTTTCCATTGATCATAAGACTTGAAGAGTGGAATGCTTAGACCAGTGTTGGGTAAGTTACTTTAAAATAGTAACTTAGTTACATTACTAGTTACTTCTCTCAAAAGTAACTCAGTTACTTCAAGTTACTCGTTACTTTCAAAGTAACTAGTTACTAGGGAAAGTAACTTTGGTTTTACTCAGAATTCTCTTGTTAATGTGTTTCTTCCATAACTTTGCCAGTCTTCTAGCTTGCTTACTTGCCACAGTGCACTGTGCCACCTACCAATAGAAAGGAAAAGATAATGTGCATATTTCCACGAGAGAAATCCCACGCCTGGACCGTCATTGACTGCTGCCATGATTCTAGCCTACGTCACAGCGTCATGTGCGCCTTTTACATCCAACACAAAAACTGCAGTCGTGGTGCTTTGATTGTACTCAGAACTCAGAAATTCTGCCTTCTGAATAGGAAGATGTAGGTAACACCAGACTGCAGATGAGCTGCATACAGGGCTGGACTGGGACAAAAAATCTCCCGGGCATTTTGACTAGAGACCGGCCCACCATTATAGGAAAAATCATAAAGCCTTTGAATGAAAATAAACACTGTTGTGACAGTGATGTACACTGTTTGATGGTATATATGCATCAATCTATCAATCGTTTGTTGTAAGATTCAGATAATTATTTTTTAAAAGCTAGACATTTTAAATGAGAATAAGAAAGAAAAGTATTTCTTTGTGCCCCCTCTCCCTGTTAATGCCCTACCTCCCCTGGCAACACTTTGCTAGATCCGCCCCTGCACAGTTACCAGCTGTCAGCTACCTAAAAAAGGATCCTGGGTTATTTGTCTCTCAGAAACAGTTCATAACTTCCCTTCAACTCATTCATGTCACCTAAAAGGTAAACCTGTTTCTCCATCACCTGTTCAGCTCTGATGATTCAGTAAGGACATCTCCTGGTTTCATCTTCATGTTTCCCTCTCACCAATAACCAAACCATATCATGACCAGCAGCTTTCAGCTGTGGCTCCAGCAAACATCAGCTGATACTAGAAATTAATATTAAATAAATTCTAACAACAGCTGATCAAGCTTAAACGTGCTGCTGTTGTTTAGCGCGACATCCGCTGGTTTCCTCTTTCGGCGCAAAGTGAGCGATAAACAAACAAGAGAGCCGATCAGCTGATCATTGATCAGTTTCATGATTGAAGTAGAAACGGGAGAGGGAGGGGGAGAATGAGAGAAGAAGAGGCAGCTGTGCAGCAAAGACACAGAATAACTCCAGCTTTGTGTCTTTTTCATTGTAGCTGAATTACGGGACAAACTGTTCCTTTTCACCTCAATAAGAAACGCGTAATATTTTCTCTGAATACCAGACGGGACGGTTGGCAACTCTAATAACTTATGAACAAAATAAAGTTCAACATCATTAACTTCATAGCACCACCCAGCTGTATAGAAACTCCGTCATGCTAGCTAGCACGCAGTACGGAAAAAGTCAGAATAACGAAAATAAACTCCACCTAAACTTGGTTCATATCTGACCCAGAGAGACTGCAGGTCATAACTTCTTACCTGAAGTTCAGTTCACACTTGGACCGGCGGCCGCCTCGGGTCTCTTTTCCTTCTGCGTCCCTTTTCCTTCATCCACCTGCTGGCCTCCACCACTTGCTAATGTTACTGAATCTGTGGAAGCTCCGCGATAGCCACCACACGAAGTAACGAATAACGAGCCTATCTAAATCCCAGTAACGAGTAACGCGTTCCTGATTTTAGCATAATAACTAGTTACCGTGCTCGTTACCACAATAATAACGTAGTTACTGTAACGCGTTACTTAATAACGCGTTAATCCCAACACTGCTTATGACAGAGGTGTTCAACTCCAGGGCTCAAGGGATGGTGTCCTGCAGGTTTTAGATATCACCCTGGGTCAGCACACCTGAATCAAATGTTCATTACCAGGCCTCTGGAGAATTTCAGGACATGTCGAGGAGTTTAATTTAGTCATTTAAATCAGCTGTTTTGGATGAAGGCCACATCTAAAACCTGCAGGAGACTGGCCCTTGAGGCCTGGAGTTGGACACCCCTGGCTTATGAGTTTCACCCACCAGTACCCTTACCATTACTGGTGAGTGCGGCCCTTTTGGCCACACTCTGGTCCTCTAGTGTGATTTCCAATACCTTTATGAGCTGTCCTTATGTAATGACTGATGTGTCTACTCAGCTCTGTTGCTATGATGCCTGAGATGAGCTTATATGTTGTGGAGAAACAGGTATTTGGCCAGTAGTTCAATGATATCGTATCCTTGTAGGGCTCTTTTTATGATCAGGATTGTTCTGCCCTGTGTTAGCCGGTTTGGATTAGTACCTAGGAGGAGCCCTGTTATTTGTGCTATTTGTGAATTTCAGTTGTGGGTCGGTCTGCCCGTGTGCTATTTTTTCCTTGTAGTAGAGAGTACACCCTGGATGCATCTTAGCAGAACAGGTCATTCTCTTCTCTGATTTATCTCTTCAGCTTAGTTTCCAGAGCTGTGAGCCTTTGTTTGGCAGTTTCTAAATCCTCGGTTTTGAAAACCCAATTTTACCTTATTTTCATCCAGGACCTCTTTCTCATGAAACCCTTTTGCATCGATTGATATCCTTCTGGGCTTCTCTGATTTTGGCTTCCAGCTGCCCTCTCTGTGGAGAAGCTTTCTCTACCTGGATCCTTAATCTTATACCCAAGTGCTTCTAGGATTTCTGTGTCAGTCGTTTCAGTGATACTGGTAGTATGAATAATCTGATCTGATGGAGCATTGTCAATGTTCCATCACTTCATCAGTTCAATGTTCTCTCATCCCAAACGGTCATGGCAGATGGCTGCCCCTCCCTGAGCCTGGTTCTGCCGGAGGTTTCTGCCTATTAAAAGGGAGTTTTTTCTTTTCACTGTTGCCCAAGTGCTTGCTCAAAGGGGTTCATATGATTGTTTTTCTGTTTGTCTCTGTATGTATTATTGTAGGGTCTACCTTTGATTTGATTTGATATACCTTTATTAGTCCCACAAGGGGAAATTTCATAAGGCTGCCGACCTATTGCACGCAATGGCGGCGCCATCTTACCCTCCGACCATACATACATTACACCAAACATCACATGGGGAAGACAGGTCAGAGAGGTATAACAATGGAAAAATGCACCACATGAGGAAAGATAAGGAGAAAAAAATAACTCCCCCCAGACTGAGCTCCAACAGGGAGATCAGTTTGTGAACAGAAAAAAACACCTCTGCACATAGCACATGAAAAAACTTAATACACCAAAGAAACACATGACAAGCAACAGGGGTGGGTAAAGGGTGAGAGACAGCCGATTTAGCCAGTACATCCGGGCCTGCAGCCTGTGCGCTGGTCTCCTTGATCCACCGTCAGCATCGGAAGAGAATAAGCATCGAAGGCGTTTGGAAAGGAAGGGGGGGATGAGTGTGTGCATATCAGTGTATATGTATGTGTGTGTGCGTGTCCAGAGTTCAGCTGAGACAGTGTCCTTCGCTCTGCTAGGCTAAGTAAACAGTCTTCCAGCCAACCCAGGTGGCCTTCCATGGAATGGGAAGGAACAGACTAAACACAGTCGTTATCAGGGTGTTTTTGTTCGGCTCCAGCCTTGCGACCGCAGCTGGCGCCGAGAGGGTATCCGCATGAAGTGATGGTGCTTTTTACTTTAGTGCGAACAGCTCATATGAATTTCAAAGCAGTTCTATACCTTACAATATAAAGCGCCTTGAGGCAACTGGTGTTGTGATTTGGTGCTATATAAATAAAATAAAATTGAATTGAAATGGGGGAATTGTGCTTTTGATTGCCTAACCTGAAGAGGAAGCTCACAGTTGTCCCGCAGAGAAATATAGACTTGGAGCCTGAATTTCATCTTTTCCCATTTGAACTTCATACCCCTTGAACTTCTATACATTTTGTCGCCTTACAACCATAAACTTAAATGTTTTCTATTGAGATTCTCTGTGACAACACAAAGTAGTACATAATTGTGAAGTGGTATTAAAACGATCCGTGGTTTTCAAAATTTTAAACAAATTGAAAAGTATGGCATGCATTTGTATTCAGCCCCCTGTACTCTGATGCCCCTAAATAAAATCCAATGCAATCAGTTGGCTTCAGAAATCACCTAATTTGATAATTGAGTTCACCTGTGTGTAATTTTGTGTCATTACAAGTTATGAATATTATATTATAATTATATAACCTATAAATACACCCCACCCCCAAAAAACCCTCCGGAAAAAGATGCAGTACTGACGCCACCATCCAATAGACCAGGGCAAACACAAACAGAATTTGGGCAAGATAGGAAGGGTAGACCCTCCCCCCACCCAGTGATACTGCAATCAATTTTGTAACAACCTGCAGGAGCATAACTGATTGAATGTTCTGCCAGAGTCTACATTGATCCCCTTGAATTGAAGATTCAAAAATGAAGATTTTTAATTGTATTTAGTTTTTATTTATTTTGCAATCACAAGACATGTAATAAGTTAAAAAAATATACTTTGTTTCCATTATCATCATGTAGATAATTGGGTTGTTGTTTTTTCCAGATAATGCAAATACACTAAGTGGGAATCTGGTTATCGGAACAAACAGATGTTCTATTGCTTGATGTTCTTACATGTAGTCTCTGTACTAAACCTCTAGAGCTTGCAATCCTTAGCTAGTGAGGTGCAAGCTTGAGAATAAAAAAAAAAAACCAAACTTATAACAGGCAGTAATTACTATTAGCATAATTTTCTGTTTTCCCTTTGTCTTCTAGCTGTTCCATCTGCACCACAAAATGTCATCTCCATAGTAAATGAGACTTCTCTGATACTGGAGTGGAGTCCACCAAAGGAGAGTGGTGGCCGAGAAGATGTAGTTTACAACATCATATGTAAGAGTTGTGGCAGCGGTCGCAGCGGCTGCACCCGCTGTGGTGACAACGTGCAGTTTATCCCACGTCAGCTGGGACTCACCAACACCCGAGTACATATCAGCGACCTCATGGCTCACACGCAGTACACATTTGAAATACAAGCTGTCAATGGAGTGTCTGATCAGAGTCCTTATTCACCACAGTACACGTCTGTCAACATCACCACCAACCAGGCTGGTGAGGCATGATGTTACTCTAGTGATATTTCAGTGATTTCAGTATTAACTCCTTTTTTTTAGTAGCTCGAATGTCTGTTAGCATGTTTTCTACACCCTTCAGATCTCTTTGTTTTTTTCTCAGCACCATCAATAGTGTCCATCATCCACCAGGTTAGCAGAACTCCTAACAGCATCACTCTGTCCTGGTCCCAGCCAGATCAGCCCAATGGTGTTATTCTGGACTATGAACTGCAGTATTATGAGAAGGTACATCAGTGCCAACTGATTGAATTAATTTCAATTCAGTTTTATTTATATAGCACCAATTCGCAAAAGCAGTCACCTCAAGGCATCTGAACCTGAAACATTTTGACTCTTAAATTGTACTCAAAAATCTTACAGTTTTAATTATAGACAGATCTGCCTGATTTAAAGTCTTTGGTGTGTGTTATTCAGAACCAAGCAGAATGGAACTCATCTCTAACGAGGAGTCAGACCAACACTGCTGTCATACAAGGTTTAAGGCCTGGAACCATATACGTGTTTCAGGTCCGGGCTCGGACTGTCGCTGGATTTGGACGCTTCAGTGGTAAAATGTACTTCCAAACCATGACTGAAGGTAGGAATCAGATTTACTGACAAACTAAATTCAGACATATTTCATACCCTGTGTGCTGCCTAATATATAAGTCTAAATATAAAAATTACTCACATTTTTGTGGTTTCTTGTCTTTTCACCTGTAGAAGAATATAACTCCATTATTCAAGAGAAGCTCCCCCTCATCATTGGTTCATCTGCTGCAGGGGTTGTCTTTATTATTGCCATCACTGTCGTCATAATTGTTTGTCGCAGGTGAGCCACTCTGTGTCCACTCTGTCCCCCAGATAATGTTCCACTCTTCACCACATTATGGTCTAAAAATCTGTACCAATTTTTTACAAAGCCACAGAAATGATACAGAAAGCACTTTATCAAAAGTGCTGATTATGAATAAAACTGCAACTTGATCCTACAGAAATACACTCAATGACTTTAACCTACAAAAACTGCATTATGTGGTGGCAACTAGGGATGGGTATCGTTTAGGTTTTATCCGATACCGGTGCCAAACCGGTACTTTTGAAA